CTAGGTTTATATCTGGGACTCTCCACCATTTGACCTTAGAACTGAAGAAGCTTCTCGGATGAGAGGTGAAACGTCTTCAAGTAACTTAAAGAAGTCGAGACGCTTTTCTTTGCAAGCTCCTTTGACTACGATGACCTGGATGACTGAGAACCTTCACAGACATATAAAAATAAAAATTATATTTTTTTATTGGCAGAAAAAACTGACAAATAATGTAAAAATTTCAGCAAAGAATTTTCATCCAAGATGGATGAAAGTTCATGGCAGTACAGGAGGTGAATTCCTTCTTTATTGTCCACGGAGCTCCTCAAAGATCTCATGTTCTCTGATCTTATAAAGTAAGGTTCTTCATTAAGCTATGATGAAGCTGACTCAGAGGACAGCGCTCTCTATTTTTTAACTCTGCAAGGTTGATACTGATCAGCCTCTGCAATCAGAATTTGTCAATTCCTGACATATAACAGGCAGAGGATAATGAAATTATCATCCTAACTGAAACACATCAGAAACTATTTGTTTTTCCAGAAAACTAATTTAGCTTTTAACACAGGGTTAGGGAGCTGGAGTAGGGGTGGGGTCATTACTGATGACTTACAGGGTAACAAGCTGTGCTTCAGGATTCGATAGGAAGGTGCCTGATGCCAGTAGGGGGCGTGGTTTGACCAGTTAACTGAGGCAGGTGAAGCTGAAGGTGTGGATAGGAGCATGCTGACCTCAGGGAGCATTCAGACAGGTTTTGATATGATCACATTTAAAAAAAAGTTTTAAAGAAATCAGGGGCAAAGGGATAAAAGGTGTCCCAGTTGATCTTGTACACATCAGACTGAATTTTACAGTTAAAACGATTCAAGAGTTTCGGCTGAGGGAGGTGACTCTGAAGCTCTGCACCAGGGTCGCCTCCTTTAAAAGAGGACACACTTCCTGTCCTTTTTTAATGAAATGACAGGAAGATAATTACATCCCATGGTGCATAGCAACCACTGTTAAACTGTTTATCAGAACCAGGTATGTTCGAACTGATTTAATTTTGAAACCAGTAAAACTTGTCTTTTATTCATCAAGCCTTCAAATTTCTGAACATGACCAATACACAGGTTCCCAAATTAGTGTCCAAAACCTGCGTAATATGTAAAAGAGCATGACATCATCTGCATATTGTGTGCCAATGTCTTCTGTTTTTTATGTGGCATATACAAAAGGCAGGTCCTCTTCTTTGGCCTTTAGAGGTCTCCACAGCAGAACATCTGCCTCCATCACCCAGTTCCTAACATCCTCTTCTATCACACCAGTCCTTTCCGTGACCTCTTTCAGGGCTTTTACATTCTCCTCATAAATGATCCTGATTGTTTTTTTGTTTTGTTTTTTTTAATTAAAAGAATCAAACTTTTAAAACAAACAAACAGAAGTAAATAAACTCAATGAAGGTTCAGGACTGCAGAGCTCCTCAAACATCATTCGATGAACAGAAAGCAGAGACAGAAAAATGTCTTCTTTGGTTCATTTTTATTTCTTTAGGGCAACAATAACAACAGCAGATTTCCCACCATGGATGAAATGCACTGTAACTAATGGCTGTGACTTTACTGTCATAAACCCAATTGCATGAATCATATGAAGACCAAATTGACACATCTGTGAAAACGTCTCAGAAAAGGTCAAAGTTAATTCTGATTCTCTACCGGATATAAAAATAACATTAAAACTTTGTTATTCAACAACAAAGGTCATAAATTTTGACTTGGAATTGTAAATATATTGTTGCTGTAAGCATTTTTGCTTACAGCAAACCTTCAAATGTGTTTTCAGACATAAAGCAATGAATCAGCTGTTTGGGCAACTGTGTCTTTAATCTATCAGCTTAAAAGTGTTCAGCGACACCTCAGACTTTTGAATACATCTAAAACTGAAAACCCACAACGTTGTGTGTGAAAACAAACATAATCTGTTCCAGTTTTTATCAGAGTGATTTCCTTCTGATGGCCTAAGGAGGCTGCGAGTGTCATGTGTTTCAGTACGTCTCACAGGTACTTGAGACTTGAATGTAAAATTCTGGAAAAATGACCAACAGCAACATGAGCAGTTTACTTTCACAGGAAATTCAAATTTTACCTTTCAGAGTTAGTGCTGCTGACTTCCTCTGATTCAGCCTCATCTTTTATGACCTGGCTGTGAATAAAACATTAAAAAAAAAAGGCCCTAAAGGTTAAGGCGTGGCACACAATGGCCACGATTTGACTCCTGGTAGCAGGAAACTCTTTGAGGGTCTGCCTCTCTGTGACAATTTGGTATTAGTTTACTCATTTCATGTTTGACGTGCATGAACCTGTACATGAAACCACCATGTATGTAAGGGCAGTGGCAGCATCCATTGTCACACATTTGTACAACACATTAACACATTTCAGAAAAAGCTGTAACTCCAGAGTGCAGTGTTTACTGCATTGTTTAAAGCCCACATTTTTTATTAAAACGGCCAAAGAACTGATTGGGTGTCAAAACTGAGATCGCTTTGTGAAAACATCATTTCGAAAAATCATACTCATCAGTTATTTAGAAACCAAGGAGACTGGCTGCTTCAGCTTTAAAGCACAAAATCTTTTGAAGTTCATTTGGTGTCATGAAGCTCCAGATGATAAAGTGGGTGATGGATGTGACTGTTCTCAGGTGAGTTATGGAGCCATGCATCTGGAATGTGAGGGAAAAATCTAAACCCCACAGAGAAAGGCCCAAGTTAGGTGGTGGATTTGAATTCTGGGCCTTGTTGGTGTGAGGCAACAGTGCTAACCATGATGCCATGGTGCTGCCTGTTCTTTTTATAAATGTTGGAGCAGTGCAGTTTTAATCCTAGAATGGTGTACTGGTTTTCTTCTGTTGCTATTATTGCTGTGCAGCATATCTATCTCCTAACATTCTTTACTAATAATAATTAGTATAGACAAATTTCTCTTACAGGTAAATATGACAAGATGGTAAATGCACCAAAATTTCCTTCTGATGTGCACTGGTGGGCATTCTGAATGAAAATAAAGTGGCTATTCTATTCTATTTTATTCTACAGGGTGGGCCATTTATATAGATACAACGTAATAAAATGGGAATGGTTGGTGATATTAAAGTCCTGTTTGTGGCACATTAGTATATGTGAGGGGGCAAACTCCTCAAGAAGGGTGGTGACTATGGTGACCATTTAGAAGTCGGCCATCTTGGATACAACTTTTGTTTTTTCAATAGGAAGAGGACCATGTGACACATCAAACTTATTGGTAATGTCACAAGAAAAACAATGGTGTGCTTGGTTTCAACGTAACTTTATTCTTTCATGAGTTATTTACAAGTTTCTCTTTGTTCACAGCCATTGACATGTCGAAGAGGTTAACACGTGAGGAACCCATTGGAACAGGACCCTCAGTTCACGCAAAAGATTTTGTTCAGTGATGAGGCAAACTTTTATGTGGATGGTGAAGTTAACAAACAAAACCACCGCTATTGGTCTGACACTAACCCACATTGGATGGATCCCTCCAAGACTGTTGGAACAACAAAAGTGATGGTTTGGTGTGGTATAT